AAATGAAAGCGTTTTCTTCTCTGTTGTAAACGCACTTGCCCAAAGACTAGCTGGAGACTTGACGTGTCATAGCAGAGCCCTTTGCTGCCTGGCCGCCAGTGCAAGGGAACGATAGCAGGCAAACCACCCAGGAGACAGAAACCTGAACTTTGCAAAGCCCCGGTGGTGGTGGCAAGGTGGAGCCCAAAGGGTGCGTGCAGGGAAGGCGAGGGGGCCAAATAATTTTTCTACCCTTTTCATGATTGCAGCGCTTTATGTGTGTGTGTGTGTGCGCGCGCACATGTGCATACGTACATAAAGCTTCACTCTGTAGTATAAGAAAATACATGTATGTTTTTCTTCTATCCATACCAACCCTGAAACTGTGGGACCTCTTTAAAAGAGGGGTCCAAGCCTATAACTGGTCTAAACTCTTTATCTACTACACTGAGCTTTGCATGGGTAAAGAGTGCACAATCAAGCCCGCAGATTATGAGAATTACTTGTTTCTTCCATATGCTGGCAAATGTGTCTGAGCTGGTATCAGGGACCTAGTTTGATGTGTCTGGTTATAAGTATCTAGATTATTTCTGTAGTAGCCCAGATTTCTTACACAGGGATGCCAGCCAAACAGAGCATCGCGCCAGGCACACTGGTGAGCTCTGGGTCCTCTTTTGGATACAGTATGAAGCAGCACCGCTCAGCCTGTCTCAGCATTGTCTGTTTAACAGTGAAATGACCTAATGGCAAAGTGTTAAACAATTGCCTGGGAGCAATCACCACAAGGTAGGGCATGGCTCCTTTCCAAAGGAAGCCCTTGGGCATGATGTTACAAGGTGTACCAAGCTTTATTCATCTGACAAGTGTCCTTGGAGCTGGGGGGCACCTGGGGCCCTGTAATGCTGTCCATGTCCCCTCTGCCAGAGGCTGCTCCACCCCAGTGGGGGAAGCCCAAGCCAGTCAGGGAGCTCTTTTGAAGGAGACAAGAGGCTATGCCTTTGCACGAGACTTAATTTGTGCAAAGCTGTGTTTGCAGGATTTGTTCCCCGCAGTGTCTTTCAGCCTTCCTCGCCATCCCATGCAGAAGTGCAGCTGTATCTGCTTATTATTGGGTCACCCGCCTGTGCAAGGTGTGCAAGGCACTGCCTGCCAGCCCCTCGGCTCCTGCTGGTGTCTGCTCCATGCTTGGTCAAGAGGGGAGGGAAAGGAAAGAAGCTGGTGCAAAGCTTGAAGTCATCTGAGAGGAGAGCAGGAGCAAAGCAGTTTCAGGCGGTGCAACATTTACTGGATGCCTGTGAGCCTGAAAGCTTTTGTTCATTTTTGGAGTCCTTTTGGTTGGGTTGTGTAAGCTGGCTGGTAGCTGTCACTGCTCTGAGCGCCTCTGCCTGCCCCCCCCCCCCCCCCCCCCGCCCCCCCCCAGCTACATGCCTGCTTCCCATGGACCAGGGAGGGATGTGACAAAAATAAAAGCAGGAAAAGGTCTTCCCTGTGGCAGCTCTCTGCTCCTCATTTAATAACAGAAATGCTTTTTGCTTTCCTGACTTAACTGGTAGGTGAGCAAATCTCGAAAGCAGCATTGACAGCACTGAGATAAGCCCAGACCTTACTGTGAGGGGGGGGAAGGGAACATTATTAGCAGCTATTAATCATCCTAAGAGGATGGGGGATGGATTCCCTGCAGTACCGTGCCCTTGTGCAGACACGTTTGCTATGAGCAATCCTGGCAGGGAGTACAAGCTGGATGTTGCAGGGGAGCGGTTTGTGGAAGGTTGCATTTCAGGGCAAGTTATTTCCAGAACTGAAGAAACTGGATTTTAAAACATGTTTCCTTTTGGCAAATTCACTTATTGTTTTCATTACTGTGCATCCTTGTGGCTTCCCCTTAGGGGAGAGGTTTGTACGGTACCTGAGTGGATGTAATTGCCCTTGTGCTACCAGTGGCTCTTATCTGATGGAGGATAGCACTCAAATTTCAAATTCTTCTGAAGTGGACACAGAAGGGGAACTTGACACCGCGAGTGCTGGCAAAGCGCTGAGACGTTCCTGCGAATGCCACTCGCTCATCCTGGTGGCTCTTGGGATTTCTTCAGGAGACTTCAGTATCTCAGTGTCCCTGGCTGCTCCGGCTCAGCTGCTCCTCGTGGTACGGCATCATTTCTAGCAGCCTGCCACATGTTGTGTCAATTATCAGTCTTTAAATGCAAGCTGTACAGCTGAGCCTCCGGCAGCGTTCCAGCGGCGGTGTTAATCCAGTGTTATTCTTGATCCCTTGGCGGTCTTGTCTGATTGAAAATGAATCACGGTAATAGTGTGCTGAGCTCGGTGCCCCTCTCCCTCCTTTGGTAGCGGAGGAAATAAAGGCACTGAGAAACCAAGTGACTTGGTTAAGGCCCAGCGACCAGGAGAGGACCCACAACATGTCTCCTGCGGGCTCCCTCCGGTGTAATGATGTCCTCAGGGATCTGTCTCATGGTTTCTGAAGCAGCAGGTCCCGAATCCGGTGGGGCTGTGGGCAACTTCCAGTGCTCATTTCTTCATGGCTGCTAGCTGTCCCTGTCACAAGGTTTACATGAATGTACTCTCAAGGCAATGGATCCAGTGGAGTGGCAGCAGGCTGCACTTGGTGGTCTTGTAGGCCACCAGTCAGCTGCAGGCTGCAGCCTGGGAGGCGATGATCTTCACACTTAAAGCAGATTTTCTATATCCATCTGGTGGCTTGTCTGGTCTTCTCATTAGCACTTCCTCTGTCAGTTTGTAGTCTGCTTACAGCATTAAAGCGGTGAGCACGTAGACAGACACTATTCGGTTGACTCATCTGAAGGTCTATGGGTTAATGTTGAGCACCTTGGTCAACCTGGACATCTGTGATACACATCTGTGTCCTTCCCTTTTCTGTGGAATACTGTCCTAGTAGAGAGGTGAAAAAAGAAAGGCATGTTGTTATCTTCCTTCTGGTTAGGGAAATTATCCTACTACAGCTGTGAGGAGATGAGCTGAACAGCCTCATTTTTGGCCCAGGGAAAGCAGTGATTGCAGCTAATGTGACACCTCTAGGAGATGAACGTTTCCCTAGGGGGAATGATTTGCCATCCAACCCCACATTAGGAGGACTCTCTAAATCTTGTGAACGATATTTATTTATGTCTGACAGCTCTGCTGCGTTTGCTCAGCTGCTTTCCAGCATGCTGAGACCTAGCATGAAGGCACAGAATGAATACCAGTTGCAACGGACTCATAAACGAGGTGTGTCCCAGCTGCAAGGCATGTTTTAATCTGTACTCATGTCTGGGAGCAGTCCACCCTTCTCATTTCCTCTGCCTATTAAATAATTGATGAAAGCCCACAGTAATCACTATGCTCCTTCCGCAAAGTCATTAAAACTGCACAAAATCTTACGTAGTGCTTGCAAAACCGCAAGCAAATGTGACATTCTTCACCCTCCGCCCAGGCAATAATTTTGGCCCACAGAGGTCTCTGTTGTTAAGAGGACACCTCTTCAGCAGAAGGAGGGGAAAGATGAATGAGGCGTTTAGTTGATTAGCTTGAAAATGCCAAGTTTTAACTGGGACCTTCTTTTTTCACAGGGGGTATCATACTGGTGGCATTGCTGCGTAGTGTCTTCTGTCTGGGATCAGTGAGATTACCCCGAGCTCTTTCCCATCAGTCATTTCTCAGGCAGAGCGCAACACCTCTTTAGCAGTGCGGTGGTGTATCTGGGAAGCAAAGCACCAGGCATGGAGAGGAAAGGGAGATGTATATGGCAGAATGTACCGAGGTGAGCTGCGGTCAGGCTGTGTCCCGGTTTCGGCTGGGATAGAGTTAATTTTCTTCCTGGTAGCTGGTACAGTGCTGTGTTTTGGATTTAGGGCAAGAACAATGTTGATAACACACCGATGTTTTAGTTGTTGCTGAGCAGTGCTTACACTAGTCAAGGACTTTTGAGCTTCCCATGCTCTACCGACTGAGAAGGCTGGAGGGGCACAAGGACCTTCCAGAGCATGGGACGTCATACTCAGTACAGAAACTGGGGGAAAGCTGGCCGGGGGGGCCGCTGCTCGGGGACTGGCTGGGCATCGTTTGGCGGGTGGTGAGCAATTGCATTGTGCATCACTTGCTTTGTATATTATTATTATTACTATTATTATTATTATTTTATTTCAATTATTAAACTGTTCTTATCTCAACCCATGGGTTTTCTCACTTCTACTCTTCCAATTCTCTCCCCCATCCCACCGGGGGGTGGAGAGTGAGCGAGCGGCTGTGTGGTGCTCAGTTGCTGACTGAGGTTAAACCACGACAGGCTGGCTGGCTGGGGATGATGCTTCTGCTTTTTCAGTAAGTATGGTCAGATTGTAATTTAAAGATGAAGTTTCTGATGCCTTTCTCCCTCCCAGTCCGCTTGTTAGATCAAGCACTGCTTTGGGATTGGTCTCACTGAAGTCAGTGAGAGTGTGTTGCAGCTGTTCCTGGGCTAGAACAGATTAAAACTAAAGAAGCAATCAAAAATCTTGAGCCCAAAACTCTCTTCCAAGGAAGGAAGCAAATGAGATCGTGATGCAGACGAAGGTGTTTGTGATTGGTGTTGACTGCATTGCAATGACTCTGATACTCTTTTCTGTCATCTCTGTTTATAGAGGCTCAGGCTTCTTGGCTGTCCTCAGCACCTTCTGTTTTGGAGAGCACTTCTTCATCCAGCAAAGAACAGAGTTGCTTTCTGTATGTTCTTGCTCTCTAGCGTGAGGCCAATTGCCTTGAGTGAAAATACAATTTCTGTTATTTACCTGTTGTCTCCCCCAGGTTTCTATCTGTGGGTGCCAAAACAGAATTCTGCCCCTAACTCTAATACTGAGAGTATCCAAGAGGCCCAGATCCAGATAGCTTTCTGCTGAGAATTTACTTTCATTAGTTTTCACCTCCTTGCCTCCAGGTACCAGCAAGAGAAGTCCTGAATGCTCCAACTCTTTTTCAAATGTCCCTATGGAAAGCTGCTCCGTGGAAAGTCCATTCATTCTTTTTGTTTTCTCTTAGGTGACTCCAGGTAGCAAAGCTGCAATAGCCAACTTGTGTATAGGAGACCAGATCATAGCCATTGATGGAGTGAACACAGATAACATGACGCACCTTGAGGCGCAGAACAAAATCAAGGGTTGCGCAGATGAACTAACTCTGACGGTCAGCAGGTACGTCGCTGAGCGAGACCGGGGATGGGGAGAGGGAGGGATGCGGGGTGGGCAGTAGCTATGTTTTGGTTTGACAGCAGACCTCTCTGGCTGGTTTGTTTAATTTGACCTCTTAGTGCTTTGTCTGGCCAGGCGCTGGATTGCAAGAGGGAATTGCATTTCAGCCTTTAATCTTAATGCTGCTTGCATTTGCTGCACTTTGACCTAATGAAAACAACTTTCCCAGTGAGAAATTGGCTGATAATTTGTGGCAGAGGCTGTCAGCCTATTCTGTGGCTCCTGACAGCAAGAAATCAAAGACAGGTCTCATAAAAACTTCACTTATAGCAGAGGAGGTATGACCAGAGATGACCTTTCTTCCTGTTGCACTAATTTAGTAGTTAAAATACGTGGTTATGTGTTGTCCAAGCTATTAATTGCCTAGTTTTTGCCATACACAGACTCAGAAAGGTTGTACATTTTGGAGCCTCTTGATCAAACAGCACTGACAGTGCTAAACAGAGATGACCCAGGCTGCATCAAAGTGCCTGTCAGGCATCAGTCTCTCATGAGTCCTGAAAAAATAAAGGAAGGCGACAGCTGAGCCACAGTCTCTGTCATCAGTGTAGAGCACGGGCTGGCTTCAGCCTTCCCACCGTCTCGAGCTGCAAAGCAATGGACAGCCTCATTTCTTTCTCCAGCCATGCTTTGTTCTTGGGCCATCTTTGTACAGAGAAGAAACGGAGCCTGGGAAGGCAGGGGTCTGCTTTGCATTGACCCATTGCTTCTTAAAAGTACTGGAGCCTATTTTTTTGGGGTGCTGGGGGTTTAGCCTTCCTCTTGGTTTGAATTGCAGCCATGGATACCAGCACTTCTTGAAGCCAGATGGTAGACACATCATGGCATTTCTAGTTGCTCTGGAGTGAGTTTTTTCCTGCGGCCGCCTTCCCCCAGAGCGATCATACATCAGCTTCATGGCAGATGCAGGGGAAGTGCTTTCAGAAGGAGTGCAAAAGCATGCCTTAAATGACACAGTAGTTCAGTTGTTCAGGGCTTTTCTGTGATAAACAGAAATCTGTTACCATAGCCTTGGATAATGCCAGGAGTTC